CCAGCAGCCTGGGTTATAGTCCTGCCATGGGATCTGAGACAGACGCCTGCCATCCTGGGGCCGCATTTTCCTCACCTGTAAGACGGATGGACAAGACAGTCTGCAAGGATCCATCCAGCCCTGACCACCTGCCGCTCTGCCAGCCCTGCCACACATCTCGTGACCCGGAGCGTGCCCCGGAGCCAAGGGGAAGGTAGCGCGGCTCCTGTGTCTGTAGCCGGTGAGGAGCTGAATTACCAGGGCAGAGCAAACCGTATCGTTCCAGCCCCGCAGGCCGGGCGGTTCAGCCATCTTTGGAATGGTCGCCGATGGGATGGTGAGGCCCGATGGCCACCAGCTCAGGGAGGAGGTGCCTCCAGAAGCACTCAGGCTGAGAGGACTCCAGTCTCACGTGAGGCTGCCTGTGTGGTGGCTACTGGGTTGTGACGCCCGGACCTGTGTCCCAGACCCTCGTGGAAGAGGGGAAAGGTTATTCCACCCCGTCCCAGGACTGAGAGGCTCAGAGCCCAGCCTGCCCTCAGGGGCTGGTCAGAGCGTCACAGGAAGACCAGGGAGGAGAAACACGGCCACCATATCAGTACTGCAAGTGAGGGCAGCACGGGCGTCCGGAAGGCCGCTGACCGGCCTGGGGACCGAGGAAGGCTTCCTGGAGGAGGGACACAGCGGCATTCGGCCTTTCAGAGCCAGCGCCTTCCAGAGCGCCACCACGGGTTGACCACTTCCCGTAGCATCCAGTCTGCGGCAGGCATCCCTTAACCCAGTGGAGACAAGAAGTGACAAGTGCCTGGAGAATGGGGGTGGGGGGGGGGGGGGGGACATGGCTTCAGGCCCGGCGGCACCCCCAGGGATCCAAACAGCAGGGTCGAGAATCAGCACCCACCCCCACCCAATTCTCCTCTGCAAGGACTCTCCTCTCAGCCAACTCTCCCCTTGTTTTGAAAAATATAATTTTTAATTAAAAAAAATACTAATGTTAACATGTAACATTTTTAATTTCCATTGTTACAAATTATTAAATATAAACTTCCCCATCTAATTCCTACTATAGTAAACAGTAACTGCAGCATGTCAACACCTAAATAGAAAATCTTCACGCTTCTCTGTAATTGTCAGAAATGTAAAGAGGTCCCCAAAGCCCTTTCCGCTGATGACCCAGTGCTGGCCCTGCCCTGGGCTGGAGAAAGAGGGCCCTGTGCTCTGGAGCCTGGGTGGGAACTTCAGTGAGTCACATGACCTCACTCACGTCTTTAGGTGGAAGATGGGGGACCTCGCCCACCTCTCCCACAGTTGCTAAGACCACTGAAGTGGACACACTCGAGGCCTGGGGCCCACCCTCCCAGCTCCGGGGTTCCATTGCTTGCTTCCAGATCGACTTGGACTGGAACACTGGATTACCGCCCCCCCCCCCCGCAACCCAATTATGCTTTGCCAGCAAAACAACAACATCTTGGCTCGTTATTAAAGTCTAGATTCTCAGAAAGGAACATTGCCTGCTGGCAAGTCCACGGTGTGGGAGAAAGACGAGTGACTTCTTTAAAGCATTAGGCTCTGTTTAGCATCCAAAGTTCAGGGCCACATCAGCTCCCCAGTGACAAATTTATGGTTAGTGATGATTAGCAGGGCTTCTCGTAAGTTGTGTTTATTTGGCTGGGAAGGGAAATTCAATCTCCCTTTCTTCATCACGTATAAGCCTGAGCTTAAACGAGCGCCCCTGGGCTCTTCCCAGCTTAGGAAGAAAGCACAGATCTGTCTGAGTGGCATCGATCACCTGGGCCAGCCACAGGACAGCCCTGGGAGATTAACGCAGGGTGGTGGCGTGGGGGCAACATGGGGAGCAGTCAGGAAGCCCCGTGGAACTGGTGGAGTTTGAGACAGGCCCAGGATTTTGTCTGTGGAAGACCAGAGAGGCAAGGGCGTGGATGGGGAACACACCCAGGGGGTGTTCAATAGGCCGTGTGGAATCGCAGGCCCGTGGAGTACGAGTACTTGATGGCAGAAGACAAAGCTGGGAAGAGGCCCGAACAACTCTTTGTACATTTGTGGGCCCCAGGGAGCCAGAAAGACCACTTAAGCAGGGAGTGAAGGGTGATGCCAGACTCAGCCCACCATTAACACAGCCACTGATGATGGTCCGGGAGGCTGCTTGGTGGCCACCACCTGCCGGCCGACCCCTCAGGGCAGCAAGTCTCTCAGAACACCTCATGAGAGGCTGCGTATGTCTCAGTGGCCCAGGAGATCCCCTCAACCGAAAGCCTCCTCTGAGGAGGGGCTGCCTGTCCTAGCCAAGGCCCGCACGAGGAGCTATGCCTTCTCTAGATCTGCAGGAGAAGGCACGAGCCTTCTGAAGTCAGCACCCCCATAGAAAAATCTAGTGTCAGAACACTACCCTGTCTTGTCTGTGAGGCAGAGATGATCATTCCCACTTTACCCGAGAAGTGATTTTCTCTGAGACACACAACTAGTCAGGAGGCCAGACTCCTGACTTTACGGTGACCTAAGAGAGCCATACTTTCTGTGTGAGGCGGGCTCTTGCCGGCTCGCAAGGGCCCATGGTGCCCCTCCTCCCTGCTGCACCTTCAGGCATCTCCCCGGGGAGCTTGGGGTCAGCCTCCATGGAGCATTCACACCACGGAAATGCCACAACCCCGAGCCCCGTCCCCACCCCCAGCAGTCGTTCGGCGGCCCAGCAGCCTGCTGGGTCTCCCATGCCGCCCTACAAGGTGTGCATGGGTGCTGTTGTGGAGTTCAGTGAGCGGAAGGGGCGACTCTCCACACGAACCGGAAGCTTCCTGGGAGGAACCCTGGCCCTGGAGTGCTTTGTTTGGTCAGCTGTCGGGTAGTTGGTCCCACTCTGCATCAGTCCAGCGGTGTGATCTGAAGAAGTGAGAAAATCCGGGTGAGAGCAGAGGTCAGCGCACCCAGCACAATGCAGGTTTCCCTCAGTGCCGTTTCGTTGTTTCATTTCAATTTAGACTTTTTAAAAAAAAATCTCTGTTGTAGCCGCTGGGGTGTGTATGTTCTCAAGTGTATGTCAGATCTCAGTTGCCCCACACCCGTGCTTACAGCGGACGGGGTCAAGATGGAGCTGGTCCTGGCCCACAGGTGAGCCACCTGGGGGAAGGGAGGCCGCCGTGTGGCCCCGCCCGCGGCTTCCTCCCCTCTGTCCGGGCCTGGCTCCTCTCTGGCCGGATATGGAAGTAGGGTCTCGGGGCGCCGTGTGGGCCGACAGCAGCTCCTCCTTTCATCTGCCTTTAGCCTCTTGATGGACTTGTGACCTACAACCTCTCACTTGACCCCTGATGACCTCATAAATTCTGGAAACTCCTCACAAATCACCAGGAAGACAAATATCAACTGGGGTCATCTGAAGGGGGTCTGAGCCACTCCAGGCGATCAGGGAGGGAAGATCACGCCTCTTGGGGTGGGGGGCGGGGTGTCCCAGGAACTAAGAGTGACTGAGGAGAGAGGCACACGGCCCGCCCAGGGGACGCTCATTGTCCCCGTTGTGCCAGAGCCCTCAGAGCACATTTCGGTGTAATCCTCAGCGTGCACTGACTGGAGGCCGGGCCTCTAGAGACTCGACGTGCATGGTCCCCAGCGCCTGCCCTGGAAAGCCAGGGCAGCACCGCTCTGCATTCCACAAGGCCTCTGCGGCAGGAGTGGGACAGAGGTTTATAGTCTGGGGTACTGGTCCAGTGCCTCTCAGTGCCCCATGGGCCTTTGGGCAGGTGTCTTAACCCCGACGTCCTCACCTCTGAAGGGAGTGCTTGCCTTTATAGGATCGAGGGGCCCAGAACGTGCCCAGAACATTGCTGCTGCCTAGGGTTTGGCGCTACAGTAGAGTCTCAGGGAGCCTGGGAGGAGAGGAGACAGGGAACAGCCGGCCTTGTGAGGGACAGGGCTTCTGAACCTGGCCCAAAGAACAAGCTGGAAGGGCCCGCTAAGCAAGGGCAAGATGGGCAGGGCTCCAGATAAAACAGCCCAGTGCAGCTAGAGGGTGGGGACACTAGCAGGCAGTGGGGCAGCCCAGCCCTGGCAACCTGGGGCAGTCTCCCCTTTCTGAGGCTGCTGCTAGCTGCCCTTCTAGATGAGTCTTCACAGAACAAGGTACCGGAGGTTGGCAGACATTTTCCTTTAAAAGGAAACCTGCCAACCAGCAGGAATCCCGAGCTAAGATGTTGGAAATGGGGATACGTGTGCTCCTGGACCTGGAACAGTCTGCATGGGGCACAGGGGTGTGCGGGTGGAGCTGGAGGCCAGCAGCAGGTCGCGCAGGGCTCTGCATTTGGGAGTGAGGGTTCCACGGATCCTGGGAGCACTGCAGTGACCAGGGACAGAAAGAGACCCCCTCGGGCTGCCGGGGGTGGGGGGGTGGCGTGTAGTTCAGGGCATGGCTGTGGGGCTGCTGAGGACGAGCCTCTGTGCAGGGATGCAGTGAGAGGTGGCTGTGCGGGACGGACAGGGCCTCCCAGGAAACAAGTGCAAGCCCGCCAGGGCACATTTGCTTAGGGCTGCTGCGCGCCCCCCCACCCCCCGCCGACCCCTGACCCGTCAGCGCTCCCCTCTGGGCCCAGCCTGAAACCAAAGTCTCCGCCTGCCTCAGTGGGGCACGTGCCATCCCTGTGCAGCCGGAAAGGTGCCCATGCCACCCCCACCTGCCCTAGTGAGGAAACGGTCTAAGGCCCTGAGCTCTACTGGGTTCTGTGAGCTGACCTAGGGCAGGGACGCTTCTTCCGTGGGTCCCCTGGAGTCCTTCACGGTTCTCAGAGCGAGGCCTGGTTCTAGACCTGGGCACCGCGTCCTTGGTTTCTCCCCAAGAGCTCCCCCCACGGACGGCTAGATGTGCACCCCGGCGTGTGGGGGTGGTGCACATGCTAACAGCAGCCCAAGAACAGTGCGTTTGACGGTGACATTTTATGGGCCGCCTCTCTTCGGCCTGAAATGTTCTCTCTCTTCCCTCCCCCTGGCCCCCTACCCTTCTCTCGCCTGTCTCTTCCCAGAGGGTATGAACTGCATGAACAAAGACCACGGCTGTGCCCACATCTGCCGGGAGACGCCCAAAGGTGGGGTGGCCTGTGACTGCAGGCCCGGCTTTGACCTTGCCCAAAACCAGAAGGACTGCACACGTAGGTAGATGGAGGCAAATGGGTCAGACATCCCCACGCGTCTCCTGCCATTGCTTTATGGGGGGTGGGGGAGGCGGTCTGTCCAGTCTGCTGGATGTTGCCCAGGGAGGTCTCTCAGCCCCTGTGGGTGGAGAGAAAGGGCAAGGTCCCCGAAGAAGCCTGGGGAGGTATGAGGGACGGGGGCTGTGAACTCCAGACATGGCGTTAGCCCAACCTGGCATACCAGCACCGACAGCCCCAGAGCAGGACCCTGCTTAATAGCCCTGCGGTGCTTACCATAACCCCCAACCCCAGAACCCCATAGGCCCTGAGCCTGAACTCTCCAGCAGGTATGGAGGGCTGTGGCACAGAAGCCTACAAGCTCGGCCTTCTTGGTGGAGCAGGGCAGCCCTTGGTAAAACAGGGTGGTAGAAGAAAGGAAAGGAGCTGGGGGCGGGGGGCGCGGGGAGTCCCAGCCCAGCCTGTGCCAACCTTATTTCCAGGATCAAAGATCAGAACTTTACAGTCCACCCCTGCAGGGCCCACCGTAAATGGTGATGCCCTGTGAGATCTGGGTTGAATGAGGTCTCTGGCCAAAGGTGCCATCCAGGACCAGCCTGAAGGTCAGCGTGCAGGGCTCGAGTGTTAGGCAACCTCTTAATGTGGTCATCCAGCTCCCTAGGAGTGGGAGCCAGCAAACGAAGTAGGACCAGGGCTGAACACACTCACAGTCCTTAAGAGCTTCAGACCCAGCTCCCAGCAGCTGCGTGGGGAGGGGTGGGAGCGGCCCCTGCTCACTGGGCGGCTGGGCTACCTGTACTGGCACCCGGTTGGCTCATGCGTATAAAGAGCTGAGGGAGACCGGTGTGAGCCCTGCCCACGTCTGGCCAGAGACAAGGACATCATTCCAGGCCTGCTTTCTGATGCAGAGAAATGGTGTGGAGGAGTCCGAATCCATCTTCCAGTAGAGAAAGCAGCCCCAACCTCGCCCCTGAAATGAGAGACTGGGCTGCCCAGCTCTCACGAAGAAAAGGGCCTTGCTTTCCATCCTTCATTCTGTGGAGAAGAAACAGCTGGGCCTCACTGGCTCATCCTTAGTCTTTTGATTGTCTCGGTTGTCATCAGCTTCCTCTGGGCGCCTGCCACACCTTTCCCAACCCATGCTGTCCTCAGTCACCAAGATCTTGGGGACCCACATGCACTAGACACATCCCCTGTCTCCACGGAGCTCATGCTGCAGCCCCCACACTCATGATCCGTCCACTCCCCAAAGTGAAGATGTTTCATTCTGGCCAGGTATGTTCTGAGATGTAGGCAGCCTTCCTCTTCATCCCTGGGCTTTCCCGTGGGATCACACAGATCAACGTGTATGCGGTCACCACGGGCAAGTGCCCAGCTCCAGCCCCAGGACTCCAGCCAGGCCCTCTGGTCCTCTACATCAGACGATTCCTATTGCTACGGAGAAACCTGCTGCCACCTGGCACCCTTCAGAACAGAAAGTGAAGAACCCCAGCTTTCCCAGTCCTCCGGACGACGGCCAAGGACAAGTATGCGTGGGGTGGGCAGGCTTGTTGACAGGCTCAGCCACAAGTAAAGAGTGTTCCTTCACTCAGCAAGACTGGCCAAGCCCTGAGCTGGGTGTAGGCAGTGGCTGGGACTGACCGGCCTGTCTGGGATGAGCACTGCAAGGGGGCAGTTTGCTCAGAGAACATCTCCCGAGGCGCCAACCTGATCTGAGAGGTCAGGGACAAGGCAGGGCTCTCTGTGAGCAGCGAAGCCCCCCCACCGCCCCCGACAGAGAAGAACTAAGCCCTTGCCCCAAATGTTTGCTGGTGAAAAGAAACGGCAGCCCCACCCCCTCGGCTCGGTGGCTGGGTATCGCCGAGCTGTGTGGAGAATCAGATACCAACCCCGGGGCCAAGGAGCGGGTGAGTGCACTGCGGCCCTTCTGTGAAGGGACTGCACAGATAGCTGTCCCTCCCGTCAGCTTTGGTTCCTGCTGTGCGGTCAACACGCAGAGTTCGTGTGACGTTAGCTCTGAGGCTCTCTGTCTAGCCCTGGAGACCAGTTGAGGTTTAGGACATTCTAGATCTGGATTTGGGGTGGGGGCTAAGGCCTGGCCTAGCCAGCCTCTGTGGACCAGCAGGACCACAGGGCCTCTGCACCAAACTCATCTCTCCAGAGTCCAGGACCCCCTCCAGGGCCAGAGGAGGTTTTCTCCATCGTTTCTTGGTCGTCCCAGAGCTCAGGACAGCAGTACTATTATCATGCACAAGCCGGAGGCTCTCTAGGTGCTCATGAGCTCAGCCCTTAGGGTCCATGAGATGCGCAAACCCCCGAGTGGGGGGTGTGGGACCCTAAGCATGGCCCTCCCTCGGGTTCTTGGGTTGCCTCAGACAGCCCTGCATCCTCCTTAGAGTCACTTGCAGGACACGGCCCATTGCCAGGAGCCCAGAGCTTGGAAAGAACTTTCTGCAGTGTTCTCCTGGCCTCCTCGCCACTCCACCCCTGCCCAGGCTGGAGTGGGGCTTTTCTCGGTCTGGAAAGGCACATGAGGTCCAGGCCAAGGCAGGGCTGTGCCTGGGCTCTGCCCTCTCCTGAGATCCATGGCAGTCTTTACCCTTGGCTTCCCTGGGGCTCTTCCTAGGCAGAGAGACAAGCTGTTTCAGAGATGAGAGAATGTGACTGCAGGCCGCTGGCTCCCCAGGAAAACTGAGAGAAGAGATGCTCCTCTGGAGAAAGGGCCAGAGGGAGCTGTGCATCCTGAAGCAGTTCTGCAGGTCCTTGAAAGGTCGTCCCAGAAGTCAGGCCCCTCCTGCGGATGGGACATTAGCTCCCTGTGGAAGAGGCAACCCACTAGAGCCTCCCTCTGGTTGCGAGGACAGCGTCGGGGACACCGAGCAGGACCACTCTCTTCATGTCCTCCTCAGCTGGCATGTGTCCAGGCTGACAGGGCCACCACCATCACTCGGGATGGTCGCCCCGGAGGCCATGTGCTGTGCCCCCGGTGAGAGCACTACCTGGGAGAGGCAGCTGCAGGACTCAGTTCTGGAACGCTTGGGATCCATCTCCAGGAGCTGCCACCCTGTGGCTTCCCTCTGGCACCAGCCGTACTCCTGGGTCAACCTGATAGAACATCATGAATCCCAACTGCCAATTCGGAATTTTCACCTGGGTTGGTCTGAGATTTGTTTTTGCATCTTTGAGCATCTTTAGGGTCGTCTTGCAAGCTGAGTAAAGCAGGGGCTGCAAGAACCCCTCCCATAGAGATCTGGGAACTCCTTTAGCAATACCTCTCACCCTAAAATGTGGTAACGAGTAGTTTCCTTTTAAATAAACCTGAATTTATCATTTTTCCTTCTTCAGACCGTCTCCTTTTTGTTCAGCCCCCTTTCAGCCAACCCAGGTCGCTGATGCTATAAAACATTTTAAGATTCTGAGCTGCAGGGCGCCGGCTCCCCCAGGCCTTAGACACTGCAAACTATGTACCATGTTTAAATAAAAAGTCATTTTCCAAAGCGCACGTGAGCTGGCATTAATTTGCACAGGTCCCGTGTGTTTGGACACTGCCTTGGGAGGATCCGGGCTCTGAGGGCGCAGAGGCTGGGATGGCTGCTGGAACTAGCACAGACTAGACTTCTGCGGGGACACCCTTCCACACGCCCAAGACCCAGGCGGGACAGAGCAAGCGATGCAAGAACTGAAGGAGCGTCCCCCTCAGCAGGGGCCCGCCGCCACCCTCCCCCTCCTTATAGACGACGCCTGCCATTAACAGACGTCTGTCGCATCAAGACAGGCAGTTCCTAAGTGTCTCTGGGACGGAGGAGGGAGAAAACGATCTATCCTATATCCCCTTCTTCACCTGACACCATCTGAGTCTGTCAGCTGGTGCCAGCCCTCTTTGAAGCCCACACGACCCAGGTCCACTCTCCTCTCACCCCAGTTCCCATTTAGAGAGCGAGCCGTTCCATCCGAGACCTCGGAGGGGCTGAAGTCCAGGGAAACGTGCGCCTATTCTTATGATTATCTTATGCCGTCACTTTGCTCCCCGTCCCTTAAGAGAAACAACCAACACCGATAAACTAATCATCTTTGTTGTCATTCCTTTTATACACACGTATGTACACTTTGGGCCTAACTAGTAACCTGTAACTATGGAAACGGAGGCTGCCAGCACAGCTGTGAGGACACGGACACGGGCCCCATGTGTGGCTGCCACCAGAAGTACGCCCTCCACTCAGACGGTCGGACGTGCATCGGTAAGTACGTACCTCTGCGCTGGCACCCTCGCGCCACCCTGCCTCCCCCCAGGGCCCCCCCTGCGGCCCTGAGGTTGGTCAGCACCCCAGCACCACCCCACCGTGTCCCAGTTTCCAAGAACGAAGCTTAAGGGAACAAGAAAAGGAGGACCCCACGGTACTAATGGGGCTGGCAGACGTCCCCAGGGGAAGCCTTCTGGAGAGACTTATCCAGGGCCATCCGGCCACCCCAGACCAAGCACCTCTGCTTCCTGTCACTGTGGGTTTTCTTTGGGTCCTCATCCTCAACATGGGGGGTGGTCTGTGGGGAGGAGGAGGGGGTGTGTGCCTAAGGAGGGCAGCTTCTGTTTTTAAAGCATAGGGGTTTCTTCCCGATTTGGGGACACATGACACATCCATTTAACCTGCACATGTGCCCCATTAGCAACATAAGCTGACCGCCAGTCTGGAAAACCAAGAGGTTTTCTCAGAAAGCGGCTCTAAGTCTTCATAGTCTACACCAGGGGAGACTGGATAGAAGAATCCCAAGGGGCTCTGGGTATTCCTAACCGCTTTCCACTCCTGAGCTAATGGGGTCTCGCCAGACTTCCTCTTCCAGCTAGAGTCCCTTCTCAGCGATGCCCCTTCTGTCATCTCTCCTGTCTCATGGAGTCTCAATGTGAGTTCTGGTCACCTCCTTCCTCCTGGGTCCTTATTTGCAGGAGGAAGCTAGAATATCTGTGGTTACCTCAGCCATAATCAGTAGTAGCTTCTTCACCCACTCAAAATAATAGCATGTCTTTCAACTGAGAAAAAGAAGAATTTCAAAGTTGGTACCCATCCAACTTTGTTCATCCTCTGCTCTCTTTCTCTTCCATGTCGGCCAACTTCAGAAGCCCACAGTCAGTGACCATATTTATTCTTTTTAATGGGGGGGGGCCCCCATCTCTTATTACCGACTCTGAAGGTATTTCTGCAGGGACTTGCAAGTAACAAAAAAGGGGTGGCAAGCAAGCAAAGCCGTGAAACCAGAGTTTGCTGTCGCATCCTGTCCCTGTGACTGCTCCCTGGTACTTCAGGGAGCGGGGGGGGTGCCAGGGCCCAGGCAGGCCACCAGCGTCTCACCCTAGTCCCGGCTGTCGTCCCGGGAGCTGCTGCCCGCGTGGTTCTCCCCCTCCTCTGTGTGGTCTCCTCTCAGACGGCCGTTGTGGTTTCATTTTTTCTCATTCCTCCTGCTTTTCTGGTGATGGTCCCTGATTGCCTGTCTTGTCTGATAACTGACGTTCATTAATTATTTTCAGAGCCAAAAGCCAAACCAAACCAAACAACCAAAAAAAAAAAAAAAAAATTTTTTTTTTTCAAAGCAAAACCTGGTCTCAGACCAGTGTCTCTATTGCAGCCTGATCCCATCTAGAACCTCCTCTCCCGCCTCTCTCCCTGTCTCCACTGTCCTGCCGGGGGCCTCCCAGGTGCACCGGCCCCTTCCTGTCTCGTCTGCTGGGTCTCCCTCGCTGTTTGTGTCTGCAGTGCAGCCGCCCCTGCCGGCCACGGAACCAGTGCAAACAGCTGCCGGCCAGACACACACCCAGGCTCGTCTAACACATCTTGTCTTTGTCCACCTGACTCATCCTTTCTCATTTTTTTATCTTTTAGTGTCTGCTGCATGTGAAGGTCCCTGCTTGGATCTACTTTCTAACATAACCTCCCTCACCCCCTCCTCTCCCCTCCCCTCCCCTCCCCTTAGAAACCCTCTTCCAGACCCAGCTCCTGGGCCATTGCCCTCTGCTGGCCAGGGGAACCTTCCTTCTGCCTCTGCTCACTGCTGCTCAGGTTCGCCCCTCGGGAGCGCACGTCTCCACTGAGCAGAGGGCCGCCAAACAGCTAACCTCACCTGCTCCTCCACGGACGGCATCTTGGCCCAACGTCTTGCCCAGCGGCCAGAATGCTCCCCGGCCGCCCGGCCGCTCGCCCGCCCGCCCGCCTCTCCGCACGCTCCTAAAATGACTGACCCATTTGTGCAGCCCCTTGTCAAGCACTTGAATGTCTCGCTCTAGTTCTCTATAGACAAGCAGGCAACCAGCGCTGCCCAAATCGAGCCCGTTTTTTCTGTCTGTTCGACTGGATCCATTGTTGTGTGTGTGTGTGTGTGTGTTCCTCTGTTGTTTTGTTCTTAACTTTGCATGAGTGTTTGACACTACTTTCCTGCCCTTGACACAGGGCGTCTGCTGTCCAGGCACAGCCATCACCGGACCTCGTGGCCCTGTCCCTTTGTCTTGTGCCTTGTCCTGTGCCCGCCTCCCCAGCCTGAGCGGGGGGCGTCTGCGATCACTTATGCCTCCCTGCACGCGGAGGCGGTGTGTGCGCTTCTGTGCCCCGCCCCCCTACCCCGCAGCTGGGTCTGTCCACTCTGACCTCCGCTGCCACCTCTGTCTGTTCGCAGCTGGGCCCTGGGTCCCACCTGTGCCCTTGTGTGGTCGTCCCCCGCTCTGCACCCCCCACCCCTGCCGCCTCCTGCCCCGAACACACCACCTTGGAGGCTCCCGGGATTCGCCCCTCGGCGCCGACGCCCGGCCCCGCATGCTGTGTTGGCTGTGTGCGCGCCACGCCGAGAGGCTGACTGTCTTGGGCCGCGGGAAGTGGGCTGTCATTAACCACCGGCTCCGTGTTTGTCCCTTACTTGTGTTTTAGAGAAGGATGAGGCTGCAATTGAGCGCTCTCAGTTCAATGCCACGTCAGTAGCTGATGTGGACAAGCGGGTGAAACGGCGGCTCCTCATGGGTAACACTTTTCTTCCACTTCCTTTGTCGTGCTCGCGCCTTTGTCCGCGTGTGTGCGCATGCGCGTGCTGCTGTGTCGGGCTGTGCGTGCGCGCGTGCGTGTCGGCGCGCGGGTGTGCGTGCGAGCGTGTGGGCGCGCGGGTGTGCGGGTGTGCGTGCCGGCACGTGGGTGTGCGTGGGGGGGCTGCCTGGGCGGTGTGCCCGCGTGCGTGGTCACCCGTGACGCGTGTGAGTGGGGGGGGCTCCACTCCAGGTGGGAACTGACTTTTTTACCCTGTTACAGTTGGTGCCCTTCATCAAACACGTGTATCTGTGTGTGTGCGTTTGTAGCGAAGGCCCCGGGGCCAAAGTCTAGTGGCCTCTGCGGGTGAGACGTTTGCGCAGAACCCCTCTACTTACAGTACATGCGCAGGATCAGCGAGGCGACCCGGAGGCCCAGAAGCGAAGGGGGTGGGGGGCGTTAGCGTAGAGCAGGGACTCAGGCAGCACGGCCCCTCTCCGGCTCCTTGCGAAGGAGAGAAGCCACATCCAGGTTCAGGACTCGCTTTAGAGTTGGGAAGCCTGCCCAGAGAGGAGAGGCCTGTTAAGGCCATCTGGCAGGCCCCGGGTCAAACGAGGTTCATTCAGCCCCTTCTGGTCCCAAGGCCCCTGACTCGGTGAATGACCCAGCCTGAGGTGGGCGTAAGTGGGCAGCCTTGGCCCACTTTTCCCTGGTCCCACTTCAGGCACCTGCTTGCCCCTGGGCAGGGAGCAGGGGCAGGTGTGCTGTGGGCTGCACTCCAGACACTGGCCCTGGGCTGGATCCAGGTTCTAGGGAGGCTTTCCCAGAAACCCCTGGTGCTGCTCAGGGTGGCTTGGGAGGCCTGCAGGTGTGGCTGACCCTGGGCAGGGTGAGGAAAGAGAAGGGGGGGGGAGATAGCTGCTCTCAGTCTGTAGAACCACAGAGCAAGTCTGCCCTAGTTCTTCAGTGCCGCGCTTGCTGGCCCCTGGATGGTGCCAGCTGCCCAGGCCTCCGGAGCACAGCTGTAGGGAGGTTTGGGATTTTCACAACCTTCTTTGTGGCAGTCTGGTAGGTTACACCAGCCTTGGGAGCTGTGGGGCCAGGTGGTACATTTCCCATGTCCTGGAGGAGGAAACAGGCTCATCGGGGTGCCCTGGCTTGTCCACAGTCACATACTACCCTGCACAGCTGAGCTTAGCCGTAAGGTCATGGCTGTGTTAGGGTCACAGGACCATGGAAGTCAGAACCACAGGGTCCCGGAGAGGTCGCCTACTTTTGTGGTCCTCATGTGGACCTCAAAGGAGTCCTGGCACCTAGCTAAAAGGGAGATCTAAGTGGGGCCACGGGAGGGATATGGCCTTTCATGTGGGGGGGTAGGCTTGAAGCCCCATCCTCCCCGGTGGGGCTTTGAGGAGCAAAGGAGATCGGGGCTGGCTGATGGTGCTCTCTGCAGCCTGAAGCCCATGCTGGGCAGGACAGGCATAGCCCTGTTTCTCAAACGAGAACACTACGGTCCAGAGAGTCCGGAAGATTCACCTCTGGTCACACAGGCAGAATGGGACAAGGTTTGTCTGGAAGCCCCCTCTCCACGAGTTCTCAGGACAGGGCTGTCATGTTGACTTGGGCTGTCTGGGTTGGCCGGGGAAGGACTGGAAATGGCCAAGGAGTGGGCTTGAAGGCTTCAGCAGGCAGGCGTGCCCACCACCATCCTGGAAGGTGTGAGTCAGGTGGCTGGAGGTGGGTGGTGGGAGCCTAAGAGCTGCCCGCTGCTGCTCTGAGGCCATGCTGAGGCCCCTCAGCCTCACTTACTGGGAGAGGTGGGTACTGGGAGAGGTGGAGCAGAGCTCCAGAGCAGGGCAGGAGCAGGAACTGGGCCCCCAGAGGCCCTGTACAGGGGTACCGGACCTGTACAGGGTGATGGCAGAAGCGGGCTGAGCTGAACTGGTGTCAAGCGGGTGGGTGGCAAGGTGGAGAAAGAGCTGTGGACTTGCTTTTTCTAATTAGAATCAGTGGATAAAAGCCTAGAGCGGGGTCAGGGAGGTGAGAAGAGATGAACTGAGAGTACAGGTACCTTCACCCCGGGTTTGGGAGGCAGAGTTGGGGGAGCAGATTGAGGGGCATGGAGGGGGCCAAGGAAAAGGATGATGGTTGGCCTGCCCTGAATTCCCACTTCTCTGATTATAGAAATCCCCTCAAGCACCCCTTTAGAGCCCATCCTGCCCCAGAGGCAGAAAAAAAAAAAAAAAACCTGTGCCTCCTCTGGTCTCTCTACAACACTTATAGCACGGCACAAGGCCCCACGCCCAGAGCTAAGCAACCATCCTCAGAGGCTTCCATGAAAGGCACCACCCAGAGCACTGGTGAACCCCTCCCTCAACAGCTCATAATTCTTAGCACCTGCTCCTCGGAGAGCAGCCCGTGTGGTAGAGACTTGGGATCCTATTGGACTTCAGGCTCTAACTAGTAGGCTTTGGTAAGGATGGCTGCTCCCAGGCTACATTAATAGAGGCAAGGTATGGAGAATAAGAGAGGTGACCATCCCCGTTGTGCCCTGTGCTGGTCAGAGCACAACTGGGGCATCACATTCAGAGCCCAGCCCTGCATGGAGAGAGTAGCCTAGATGGTGTGGGGAACCAGAGTTGGGTCAGCATCAGTGGCCTGTGGGAGCGGGCACAGGCAGTTGATCTCAGTGGATCCTGTGGCTGGTGGGCCACGTGAGCCCTCTTTTGGGTCCTTGGAGGGGATGGGGTAGGACTGGCGGAGGGGGAAGGACCTGGTTCTGGGGCCCAGGAGAGAAGCAGATGAGGAAGGCAAGACCCTGAGGAGTGTGACGGTGAGGTCAGGCCCCGGGCCGGCCAGCTCCAGGGTCTGTGCCCCGCCCCCCCCGACTGCTGCACTGGCCAGCTCCTCATCAGAGGGCAGAGACAAGTGATGAGTGAGGGAGGGCGGGGCTTGAATGCCCTGGAACAGTCTACTCTGAGCAGTGCCCGTGGTAGTCACGGTACAGGGTTCCACCAGAGCAGGGCACGTGTGCTGCAGTCACCTGGTGGCTGAGGTGTCCTGGCGGGTGTCTTCCATCCCTGAGATGCCGGTTATCTCCTATGCCAACAGGGCTTGTTTTTAGGCTGGGTAGGATAAGACCGAGTGAGCACAGGGTGGTGCTTGCTGGCCCCGAGAGGCCCCAGGAGCACACGCCCTCCTCGTCGCTCTCCATCGTGACCACATCAGTGACAGACTGGTCCTGCAGGCCCAGGGTGACACCCCCTGTTCCATGTCACAGAGAGGGTGGTGGCCTGTAGCAGAGCAGCTGGGGGCCATTCAGGGCTAAGTGGCCCTGCCCCAGCCTTTGAGTCTCAGCTGCACCCAGCCATTGCCGTTTATAATTACCCCCAGTCACTGAACACGGGCTAAGAACAGGGGCAGTTCCATTTTCTTTAAAGAGGCTCAAACTATGTAACAGATTTTCAATTTACGTTAAAATCAGTTAAAATACTTGGATTTGAGGGTTGGAGTGATAAATTTCAAGTATCTGGCTGACTTGTGCAAAACCCCTGAGTACCCAGCTAAGTTTACCACCGGCCCCTGGGACCCCACTCCTAGCAAGACTGATGAGACGTTGTGGGTCGTTCTTGTCAACACAAGTGTTCAGTCAGTCCCTTTCCCACAGTGTGGTGGGATGGATGCTGTGTTAGCTTCCTCTTGCTGCTCACAGGGTACCACAATCCTAGTGCCTTACAACAGCAGGAATGCACCATCTTCTGGCAGGTCAGAAGTTGGACTTGGGACTCACTGGGCTAAAATCAAGATGTCAGCAAGGGCTGCATTTTTCCTGGAAGCTCTAGAAGCTTCTAGAACCACCCATATTCCTTGGTTTGGGACTTCTTCCTGTCTTCAAAGCCAGCAGCATGGCATCTCTCTGACCCTGCTTCCATCAGGCTCTCTTTCTCTGACCTCCCTCCTCCACCTTTAGGGAACCTTATGACCACATTGGGGGCCCACCCAGATGATCCAGAACAAGTGCCCATCTCAAGGGTCTTAATTTAGTCACATCTGTTGAGTCCCTTTTGCCACATAGCATCACGGGGGACTAAGACAAGGACATTTTAGGGGGCTGTTAGTCTCTCGACCCCAAATGGTTCAAACTTGGTCTGGAAGGAACCTCCCAGGCTGGCTGCTGTGAGCTCGAGAGGCGGAGCCCACATCCTCCTTCTTCACTGGCTCGTTCTGGTCCACGCATCTCCAGGCACAGGTGGGGGCTGGCAGTGTGGGACGCGCCGGTCCGTGCGGGAAGTCCCGCCCCCACCTCCGCAGCCCGCCCCCCCGCCAAGTGGGCGCCCACCACTTCCTCAGGCAGCCTCAGTGCACATCAGCCTGCTGTTTCTGGAGGACTCTTCCTCCTCACAGTGGTCTGCACCAGTCTGGGGGCTGTGGACTCCCAAGCGCAGGGCCCTAAGTCAGGAGCCGAGTAGCCTGAGGTGCGTCAGCCCTCCCGACTGGAATCTGTCCTCACAACCTGCCCACTTAGGGGTCCCCCTGAGCCCAGGGGAGCCAGGTGCTCCAGGACCGGTGAATACAGCAGTTGTTAGCCTAGAACCCCAGCTTCTCTGGGCCTTGCTCTGTCCCAGTCTTCATTCACCTCCCAGCCACCCTGAGGGTTGGCACTAAAGCAATTCCCATTTTACAGATGAGGACACGGAGGCCCAAAAAGGTACTAGGAACTCCCCCCCACCCTGCATTCCCACAGCTGACACCTGCCCATCTCCCGACACCTCTCCACCTGTGAGCCAGGCTTCCCTTCCTGAGTCAGCCTGATCCCGTAACACTCTCACCTAGCGGGGCTCCCAGGGGGTGGTGTGAAAGTGTGGAGGGGCCTGGCAGACAGGGGAGCCACTGAGGAAGTTCCAGGAAGGGGGCCGAGGGGCTGGAGCCCTGGAAGGCTGGGGAGGACCAGGGAAATGCTCCAGCAGTTGTGGTCGTGGCTGACGTTTGGGGGTTGCAGA